TAAACGCCGGCCAAAAAAGAGAGGAGTGTAAAGGAAGAGGACGTAGGAAGAAAAGGGAATAGACAAAGAACATATTTGAAATTCAGACAAGGATTAAGAGTCGAGAACGGTACAACGAATCGTCTTCTTTCTTTAATGAATTAATAAACCGTCAAAGCTTCCGCGCTACGCGCGGGGAGGGCAGGGGGAACTTAATTCAGACGAGGATAATTTTCGGGAACGGTACAACGAATCGTCTTCTTTCTATAATAATTTAATGAAACGTCGAAGCTTCCGCGCTTCGCGCGGAAGGGGGGGGGGAATTGATTTAGACAAGGATTAAGAGTCGAGAATGGTACGACGAATCTTCCTCTTTATCTAATGATTTAATAAAAAGTAATAGCTTCCGCGCTTCGCGCGGGTGGGGGAAACTAAATTATTTTCGAGAGCGGAACAACGAATCGTCTTCATTCTCTAAAAATGTAATGAAACGTCGAAGCGGGGGAAAACTGAATTTAGACAAGGATTAAGAGTCGAGAACGGTACAACGAATCGTCTTCCTTCTTTAATGATTTAATGAAACGTAAAAGCTTCTGCGCTGGGAGGGGGGAAATTGAATTTAGACAAGGATTAAAATTCATAACGGTACAACGAATCGTCTTATTTCGCTAATGATTTAATGAAACGTAAAAGCTGTATTCAGACGAGGATTATTTTCGAGAACGGTACAACGAATCGTCTTCTTTCTCTAATGATTTAATGAAACGTACAAGCTTCCGCGCTTCGCGCGGGAGGGAGGAGGAGAAAACTGAATTCAGATGAGGATTAAGAGTCGAGAACGGTACAACGAATCGTCTTCTTTCTCTAATGATTTAATAAAACGTAAAAGCTTCCGACCTTTGCGCGGGAGAGGGGGATAAATTAAGACGAGGATTAAGAGTAAAAAACTGTACAACGAATCGTCTTCTTTTTCTAATGCTTTAATGAAACGTAAAAGCTTCCGCGCTTCGCGCGGGAGGGGAAAAACTATTTTCAGACGAGTAGGCACGTACGGAAGGGGGGGAGGGGGTTAGGGGGTTGACCCTCCCCCCTTCGGTTTTTTATGTGTGTATTTTGGAGCAACCCCCCCCCCCCCCCCACCTTTTTGTGATTTTTTTTTTTTTTTTTTTTTTTTTTTTAATAATTTTTTTTTTTTTTTTAAATATGCCAATGGCTGACCTAAAAAAGGTGATCTCACCCCCCCCCCCCCACGGAAGAAAATGACAAATTTTCAAATTTCGAGACAAAAACAAAAATAGTGCCCTCTTCCCCCCCCCCCCCCCCCCCCCGCTTATTTAGCGGCTGGCTGAGTCGTTACGATTTTTTTTTCGGACCAAAAAAAAAAGTGGGCCCCCCCCCCTAAGAAATCCTGGATCCGCGCCTGGAGGGAGCTATACAACATTAAAAAAAGTTTATTATTTACAACTTCATAACTTAAGACACGATTTCAACCGCGACAACGATCGTTGAATATTGTAAAATCGCATATGCTTCCAATATTTTTTACTTTGTATAAGGCCTACCTTTAATGTGAATAACTGAAATGGATTTTTTTTTTTTTCCAAACAAATTTGTTTTCTTACCTTGATCTCTAGATGACAAGGTTACGATCATGGGTACTGACTGGGTAGTGGGTACAGGTGATGGGTCAGACACTGACTGGGTAGTGGATATGGGTAACGGGTCAGGCGTTGTAGAAGTGCCCTCTGTTGGATACAGAAATCAAATAAAATTAAATTGAATTGGACTGTCGCGCAATGGTAGATGTTGCTGGTTCTTGCACTTAAGATGTTGTTGTTGTTGATGGAGATGATGTGATGCTTGTGGACACGTCGCTCTCATCGTTTGTCATCGACGTTCCGGGGGAACCATTTGTGGGAACTTCAGTAGCCATGGCTGCAATCAGGGGCTGATCAGAGGGGTGGGGGCCTCATACTTTCCTCTTTAGAGTCTTAGAAATTAGAGGATTGTGTTATAGTTTGATCTTAATTAAGGGTATCTTCTTTTATCTTATTTGTTTACAGACCGTGATCATTGTTGAAGTCTACTGATCGACTGTCACTGACACAAATAGCCAGATCTTATTACTGATCACGGTGACTATCAACTAATCCCTGGGTGTGACTACACTACCCCGGACCTTGAGAATGCCATCGTAGCTGCCTTAATCACTGCCCACAGTGCTTTACACACCGCTGGACTTGCCGCCAAGGTGGAGAAGGTTAAACGTCCTACAGTTGCTGCGGCTGGCTCAAATGAAGAATGGGCGTACTTCTTGTCTCGATGGATTGATTATGTCGCGGCCTAAAAGGTCACCGGCAGGGACAAGGTTATCCAGCTGCTCGAACGCTGCGACGAACCCCTACGTAGAGACCTCACAAGGTCAGCTGGTAGGAGTCTGACCGGCAAACCCGTGGACGATGTTCTGGCAGCCATCAAAAAGCTGGCAGTCCTTGAAGAGAAATATATGGTGGCCCATGTAGCGCTTCATAACATGCGCCAGGACCGAGATGAAACTGTACACAGTTACGGGGCCTGCCTACGTGGCCAGGCAGACATCTGCAAGTTCCTTATCAAGTGCCCCGGCTGCGACACCAAAGTCAACTACACTGACGCCATCATGCGGGACGTCCTCACTCGGGGCATCAGCGACCCCGAAATCCAGCTTGACCTCCTTAGCAACAAGAATCAAGACATGGTGCTGGAAGAGGTCTTCGAGTTCGTCGAAGCCAAAGAAGCCGGCAAACGATCCGCCTCCTCACTCCAGGACTCCCACTCCTCAGTGGACGCGGCTAGCAGCACCTACAGGAAAGCCAAGGTGACAACTATTAAGGAGAAACAGGACCTTTGTGGTTACTGCGGCAGGAGAGGACATAGGAAGAGTGCCCCGGCCGGCATCCGACAAACTTGGTGCCCAGCATATGGCCACATGTGCACACATTGTAATTGGTCGAAGCACATGGCGAGCGTATGCCGCAGCAAGGACAAACCTAAACGTTCTTCAACCGGTGCCCCAAATGATAATGCAGGTGCTATGTTCGATGCCCTTTGCTCTTGCAACACTGTGGAAACGCCTCATCGTGGATCAGCCGTCCCCCTGGACCACCACGTATATGACAACCTCACCAATACGTGGCTCAAGAAACGGTCATCGCCCCAGCCATTCATTGACGTGACCATCAGGATCGTGCTCGATGACTGCACTGCCTTTGGTTTCAACCTATCTACCCCTACAATGTCTTGCTCAGTTTCTGCTATGTCGACACTGGGTGCCAGAGCTGCCTTGCTGGCATCAAGGTCATCCGCCGCCTTGGGTTGCGTCAATCAGATCTCCTACCGGTCGACATGAAGATGCGCACTGCTACAAAAGGCGGCATCTGGATCCTTGGGGCCGCAATCATCCGTTTCTCTGGCAGAGGCGAGCGAGGACAGGTTATTGAAACTCGGCAGATGACCTACATCACTGACAGCTCTGACAAACTCTTCCTCAGCAAGGAGGCATGCATCGCCCTAGGGATCATCCCTGATACCTACCCTACGTTGGGTAGGAATGGTTACCATAGCGTGCCACTCTGCAGAGAGGACCGTCACCTGACCACCTTCATTACCCTCTGGGGCAGATACCGCTACAAGACGGCCCCTCAAGGATACATTGCCTCCGGTGATGGATACACCAGGCGTTATGATGAGATCGTGTCGGACATGTGTGGATGACGCTCTGCTGTGGGCGGACACATTGGCGGATAGCTACTTCCAAGCTGTCGAGTGGCTGGATGTCTGCGGTCGGATTGGCGTTACCCTCAACCCTGACAAGTTCGTGCTGGGCGCAGATGTTGTTGAGTTTGCTGGATTTGAGATCACCCCCGACAGTATCCGTCCATGCGAGAAATACTTATAGGCCATCCTGGACTTCCCTACACCGAAGAACATCACCGACGTGCGCTCTTGGTTTGGGCTTGTCAATCAAGTGTCCTATGCTTTCAGCATGACTGCAAAGATACTGCCGTTTTGCCAGCTCCTGAAGCCTACCACAGCCTTCACGTGGGACGAGGCCCTCCAGAGTGCCTTTGATGAATCCAAAGCCATTATCGCCAATGAAATCGAGGAAGGTGTGAGGATCTTTGACCCGAGCAAGCCCACTTGCCTGGCTACAGATTGGTCAAAGCATGGCATTGGCTTCTGGCTTCTCCAAAAACACTGCACCTGCAATTCCTCGGAACCATTTTGTTGCCCCACTGGATGGCAAATCACGCTTGTAGGCAGCAGGTTCACGCACGCCGCTGAATCACGCTATGCTCCAATCGAGGGTGAGGCCCTCACCGAGGCTGATGCCCTAGACAAGGCCAGCTACTTCGTACTTGGATGTGAGGATCTCATCCTTGCTGTCGACCACAAGCCCCTTTTAAAGATCCTCACTGACCGCTCTCTAGCAGAATCCCTAACCCTCGTCTCAGGAACTTGAAAGAGAAAACCCTGCAATACAGGTTCCGGATCGTCCATGTCCCAGGTGCCCGACACCGTGCAACGGACTGCCTCTCACTGGTGCACCTCTGAAGTTACACCTGCCTGACGATGTCGCGACCATTGGTCCTCCCCCCATCAACTTGACACCTTTCATTCTGTGTCCTCCCTGGACTCCCTTCACCTCAAATCTGTCACGTGGGACAGGGTGCGTATTGCCACAGCCAGCGACGAGGACATGCATGCATTCCCTCGTTGGCTTAGTTGAGTCCGCCCAGCCTTCCGCCATGAACTCCCGGGTCCCCTCCGTGACTACTTCCAGTTTCGGGACGATCTTTATACAGTTGATGGAGTTGTGCTTTACACGGACCGCATCGTTATCCCCCCCCCCCTTCTCTCAGGGAGGAAGTGCTGACCCACCTCCATGCTGCCCACCAAGGGGTCACCTCCGTGACCGCCAGGGCAGAGGCATCTGTCTTCTGGCCCGGCATCACCCCTGCCATCTCCACCCTCCGTGCTAGATGCGACCATTGCAATCGGATGCGCCGTCCAACCCTAGTTCGCCGCGAACTCCGCTGACTTCCCCGGTCTACCCATTCCAATGTATTTGTGCTGACTTCTTCCATTACAAAGGCTGCAATTACTTGGTTGTCGTCGACCGATTCTCCAACTGGCCAATAGTTGAGAGATCTACCCACGGCGCAGATGGCCTCACCGCTTGCCTTCGACGCATCTTTGTCACATTCGGCATCCCTGACGAGATGGCCTCAGATGGTGGCCCCAAATTTACAGCAGCAGCCACACGTCGATTCCTCCAGGACTGGGGTATCCATCATCGCCTTTCCTCCGTGGCATACCCCCATAGCAACTGTCGTGCTGAAATGAGTGTAAAAGACCATCAAGCGCCTTCTCCTGGACAACACCAGCCCTACCAGTGCCCTTGACACTGACGCATTCCAGCGTGCGATGCTTCAGTACAGGAACACGCCTGACAGGGACACCAAGCTCTCGCCCGCCATTTGCGTATTCTGCCATCCTATTCGGGACTTCATTCCAGTGGCGCCCGGCAAATACGAGCCTCACCGCACTTGGCGTGAGACCTTTGCTGCTCAGGAAGATGCACTGCGAAATCGCCACATGAGAAGTGCTGAAAGCGACTTCCGCCCCTTACAGTTGGTGACCATGTCCGCGTACAGAACCAGATGGGACCCCACCCCTTTAAATGGGACAAGACTGGGGTTGTGGTCGAGGTTCGACCAATACGCAATCCGCGTCGACGGCTCCGGGAGAGTTACACTATGGAACAGGAAGTTCCTGAGACAGTATGTTCCAGTGTACCCGCGCCCCGTCCTTTGGTGATGGACGGTGACTTTGGCACAACTCGTCTGAGTACTCGACAGCCCGTCCTGCGGCTAGACCTCGAGGCCCTGCCGCGTCCTACTGAACAGCCTGAGGATCCCGCTTCAGGCCCTGAAACAGCCCTACCCCTGGTGCCACCATTGACGTGCCCTGACACCCCTGCCACCAGCCAGCCGGGACCTGTCATGCCCCCTGCCCGGGCAGCTCCAACGACCCCTGCCGCTTCTTCTGGAACGTCCGATGGCCCGCCCCGTCGTCCTGTTCGCCCATCTGTGGTTGTTCCTGTTCCTTCGTCTGTCGACACGCAGTTGCCGTCGCTCACACCCGTTGGACGGGCCAGTGCTTCTCCTAGGCGATCTATACCCGTCGCCCAGCCAAACCTGTCTGGCACACAGACTATGACATGTGACATTGACACTCGAACAGTTTTCCTTATGTCTTTAATTCTTTTACTGATATTTGGCAATTGCATTTCTCGTTTTGCTAGTTTTTGATGGCGTTTCGTCATGACTTTGTGTTAGGTTTCGTTTTAGCCTGGACTGCGTTCACGTTTATTTTTCTTTACATTTTACTCGTCGTTGATCATTGGGTCGTATTTTGTCGCACTGTTACATTAGCCTTTCATTTCTTTTTGCACCAAAGACTCGGGGGGAGATAGAGGATTATGTTATAGTTAGATCTTAATTAAGGGTATCTTCTGTTATCTTATTTGTTTACAGACCGTGATCATGGGCGTCAATCCAAATTAGACCGTGGGGGGGGGGGGGGACACAAGTTCAGACAGGGCGACGCCAGGTTATTTTGTTAGGGGGCGAATGGGCGCGCCACGCAGGGGGGGGGGGTGTCTGAGGGGATGCCCCCCCCCCCCCTCAGAACAGAAGTTGAAGATTTTTTTTAAAAATTGATGCTTAAATGGCTCGCTTTGGTGCGTACTTTTTGCCAAATTAAAAAGAAAGCAGTAGAACGCAGGGGGTGTCTGGGGGGTGTGCCCCCTCAGAAGTTGAAGATTTTTTTTTTTAATTGATGGATAGATGGCTTGATTTGGGCCAAAATTTTTCGCCAAATTAAAAAGAAAACAGTGTTAAGTTCAATTAACAAAGAACAAGAACGCATGGGGTGTCTGAGTTAAAGATTTTTTTTTTAATTGATGTATAAATGGCTTGATTTGGTGCATACTTTTTGCCAAATTAAAAAGAAAACAGTAGAACGCAGGGGTGTCTGAGGGGGGTGTGCCCCCCTCAAAAGTTAAAGTTTTTTTTTTTTTAAATTGATGGATAGATGGCTTGATTTTGGGCATACGTTTTGCCAAATTAAAAAGAAAACAGTCTTAAGTTCAATTAACGAGGAACAAGAACGCAGGGGGTGTGTGAGGGGGGATCTGCCCCCTGAGAAGTTGGAGATTTTTTTGAAATGGATGGATAGATGGCTCAATTTGGTGCATATTTTTTGTCTAATTAAAAAGAAAACAGTAGAACGTAGGGGGTGTGCCCCCCTCAGAAGTTGAAGATTTTTTTTAAATTGATGGATAGATGGCTTGATTTGGGGCATAAGTTCAACTAACAGGAACAAGAACGCAAGGGGGGGGGGAGTAGATAGATGAATTTGTCGTTTCCATAGAACAATCAGCCATAAGGTTTGAAAGATACAAGGGATTTATTTGATTTTTTTTCAGTTGGTGAAAGGATTTTCATCGTAAACCAATGTTTGAACTTCCGGTAATGTGAATGTAATATTAATGACGCTTCTATTAATCAAATCTGATCGCCTGATTTGGCTTGATTTTTCTCAACAAAGAGAGAAAGAGAGAAAGAAAAAAAAAGAAGAAGATTTAAACCCCAAATCATGGGGGGGGGGACATTTCACCACCTGAAAATTCGTGGGGGGGGGGGGGACGTGTCCCTCCATCCCTCCAGGATTGACGCCCATGACCGTGATCATTGTTGAAGTCTACTGATCGACTGACACAAATAGCCAGATCTTATTTAGAATGTATCGGTTCGGCCCCTCATTTTGTTCGTGGGTAAAAACTATTTACAGTAATCTAAGCAGTTGAGTTATGAATGGGGGTTTTGCTACTGGTTATTTTAATGTTAAGCGAGAGGTAAGGCAAGGAGATCCACTCTCGTCCTATTTATTTATTCTCGCTATTGAAATATTTCCAACAGTAGTGAGGAATGATGAGGTTATTAAAGTCGTTAACATTGGAGTTTGATATGCAGATGACATGACAATATTTCTTAGAAATAAAGAATCTGTAGAAAGAGATAAGGAGATTTATATCTTGTTTAAGAAAATAAGTGGTTTACGGGTTAATGCGGAAAAAGCTAATATTAAGAAATTGGGGGAAAACAGAGACAAATCAAAAAGACTTCCCTTCGGAAATGTGGTTAAAGAAATTGTGGGAGTGTATTTTGCGTTAAACGTCAGAATAAGAGAGGAGTTGATTATAACCAGATTTAAAGCAATATTAAAAGACTTCTAGGAGGGTGGAAACAGAGGGACCTCACAGAGTTTCGAAGAATTCATTTATTAAAAACAAAAGCATTATGTAAATGAAATTACGTTTTTGCTTCACTAGTGGTTCCTTAGATCGGAAATACAGAAAATAAGTTTTGAATTTATTTGGAATCGGAAAGATCGAATTGAGAGATTAAAATTGAATCAATGTTATAATGGAGAGGGATTAATGACTAATTTTCAATCGTTTGTAAAAACCCAACGTGTAATGTGGGTGAAACGACTATTGTACGGAGAAAAATCAATGAGATGGAGGCTATACTTTGATTTCTACTTCAAGATGGTAGGAGGTAGATTTATTTTCTTGTGTAACTATGATTCCAAGTTATTAAGTTTCAAAGTACCTAAGTTCTATTTAGAAATGATAAAAGCATGGGAAGAGTTAAAAGGTTGTAGGAATTTTGAAGAAAAGAATAATCTAATCATATTTAACAATACCAATTTCTTATTAAAAAAGAACGTGATTTTGGATGAGGAGTTGTTTACACGCAATATAATTTCAGTTCAAGATATATTTGCTGAAAATGGCATAAGGTTCTCGTTTTCAACATTTGGGGTAAAAAGGAAACAAAATTCTCGCAGTATAAAATATTGGGGAAGCTATTTTGAGATGCGGAAAAAAGGATAACTGGAGTTTAGTGGATGTAAAAGTGTATGATATTTTAATGCAGTTTAACGGTACTGTGAAGCTCCTCAGAGATTTATTATCGAGAAAGGTTTATGAATATTTGATAGAGAAGTTACACAATTTATTTGTTTTGAAGATTCACGATGGACGGGGATTTTAAGATTTTTCAAGTGAGGTATATAGGGAGATATTTAGTAGGCCTAGGAAATGTACTCTTGTTAACAGACTAACAGAAATTCAATATAAACTGCTTCATGGAGCGATATATACTTGAGAACACTTATTGAGATTCGGCTTTGTCGAAGATAACTTGTGCTCATTTTGTAAGCAAAATATTGAAACATAATACACTTGTTCTGGGAGTGTGTACATGTTCAAAGGTTATGACCGAATGTAATAGCTAAGTTTGAGCTGACGGAATTAAGGTCTGTAGACTGGGTGGATATTCGTTTAGGGTTATCCGGTAATTCCGCACGAAAAAAGATATTTAATACAATTATTTTTGCAATGAAATATTGGATATAATTATAGATGCAAGGAAAAGTCCGTAATATTGTCTTCGGGTAATTTTCAAAAAGAGCTGTTGGAATTTAGGGAAGAAGAAAACACTTATATACATTTACAGAAGTGGGAACAAGTGAAGTTTTCATGAACTTTTAGCACTGGGTAATTGCAGCCTCGTTTAAATGATTTATCATTTTTTTTGTTAAATAGATTATGTCTAGTATTCCATTGCTCCAATTTGTGGTATTCTGAAGAGGCTAGGAATAGTGTGTGGTATTTGTGTGGAAGTTTGTTTGTTTGTTTGTTTTTATTTCCGAAATCCATATATACATACAAGTTTTAAACAAACATACATATAAAACACATTTCAAACGATAAGAAAGTAAGTAAATGTGTAAAGTATAGACAAACGGTTGGATAGCCCTTTTCAGAACCATTTTCAAAATGGTCCTGTTCTTCCATGGGGTCCAAAAGCAAAAATCATATTAATTTACATACAATATCAATTTTTATGAAAATCAAAGTAATTTACCAATACACTACCCCCCCCCCCCCCTTATCGTTTCCCCTAACCTCACCACCCCCGCCACCCTCTCGATACTACCAGCCCCTCCCGCTACCCCTTTCCAAGTCCTCCAGTGTATATTATCTCTGTCAAGTGTAGTAGGGTGGTGTGTGTATGTCATGTGTCACATGTGGGAAGGGGGTAGTAGTGTGTGGATGAGGGTGTTGAGAGTATGTTTAACTGGGAAGGGAATGGGGGAATAGACAACAAATTTTTTATACAATTTAATTTAATATTCTTGATCATGACTGTGTTCTAAACAGTTTAAGGAAATGTACTTTAATTTGTTTTCTTTTTATTATTGCAATTTATGTTTAATCCAAAGTGTACAATGCATCCAGTTTTGTTAAAAATGATTTGCACAATATGTTTTTGATTTGAGAGGAAATAATAAAAAATATCTTTACAAAAAAAAGTATCTATGTAGGTAGGTATGTATCTATATATTTACTTTTTTACATTTACCGTAAGGTTTTCACATAGGCCTATTAACATTTTAAAAGTATCTAAATCAAAGTGCAATACTGAATCATAAAATATAACTTTCTCAGCACTTACCATCTTCTGTTTCACAGATATAATGGAATTGCACGTTACAACTATTGTCCTTCCATTCGTATGGTGACCCTGACATTCGGAAACACTCTCCATATTCATCAAAAGTCGATGTTGAGTCGGCGAAGTTGATAAAGGTCAAGCTTGAGCCGTCCAACCATGTTGAAGTAGCTGCATTGTCCAACGAAGTCACTTCGGATAACCCTATCCAGTACTCGTTGGCGGAGCCGGTGTTGACCAGAAAATCTTGTTCTTCCTGAGATTCGAGGAAGACCAGGTGCATTCCAAGGTTGGCACATGATGCCCTTGACGTGTCGAAGTCAGACGCATCGAGGGAGAAATGGTAACAGGACCCGCCGTATTCGATTTGATTTAGAATGCAAGCTGTGACAAAGAGAGAAAATGGAGAGATGTAGGAATCGGGGAAAGGGGAGAAAGACAGACAGAAACAGAGAGAGAGAGAGTGTGATGAGAGTAGGGAGGTAGACGGAGACAGACAGACAGGGAGACACGGACAGGAAGAAAGAGACAGAGAGAGGATAAGGAGGGAGGGAGGGAGAGAAAGAGAATTTGGGGCGAAGTGGTGAAATATGGATATAGAGATATGTAGAAGGAGATCGAATGAAAACAGAGGACAGCTCGAAAATTTAAATAATTCGGTACGATAATTCTCATACTTTTCATTTCATTTCACGAAATAACTTTCACAGAGAGGAAATGGAGGAAGAGGAGAGATTATGGGGGATTATTAGGCAAAGCTTTTACTTTTAGAACGGTTGGGGCTAGCTTGTATCCATCGTGTCCATATGATGTGCACAAATAATAGATTGTTTTCCATCACTAGTACTTAGTAGGTACTTCTTTGCCCAGGTATGAAATATTTTGCATAGTTTTTTTAGAAATGATAAGAAATGTATTAATCGTTGCCAAACTGGGTGACTTTTCGTTACTTTCGTTCGAGAGTAAAAAACAAAAACAAA